GTAGCCCCTTTCGCAGTACGTCGTTCCCGGGTATATTGATGTTTATTTGTAAAGGGCCGGGTTTCTTTGTTCCAACACTTCGACATACGTAATAAGGAAAGTTTGAACTGAAACGGGCCCTGCTGTGTAACGATAAGGAGGATGGGGTCTTTCCAACTCAAACAACCGAAGAAAATGATCCGAGACAATAATTCGACAGTGAAACTTTTCGGATAATAACCTTCGGTAGATAAGAAATTACCTTCTGCAAGGCCGGGTGTCCGATACTTTGGCTACCGTTTGCGGTATGCGGTTAGAACTATAAAAGACAGTCGCTTAACAGGTTTCAAATAACTTGTGCAAAAGATTACTAAATTGATGCAAAAGAAAGCTAAAACCAGTCATTATTTATTTTCATTTTTTTCATATTAATAACAAGTGCAGTAAAACAAGGGCAAATAATCTAATATAATTTTTTTGTCACTTTGTAATTAATTATTTAATTAAATGTTATCAAGGTTAAGTCAGAAACCATATTTTAATTTCATTACAACGACTAAATTTGTATTGCTGGCCAAACCTTGGTCCTTCCGGCCGTACACAGACGAAGGGACTGCAGGAGCCGAGTTATCGTGTCAGACCCTTGGTTACAAGGTCGTCGGTTCGATTCCCATCGACGGACGTGAAATTTTCTGAGTGCTCCCTTCCCCCCCCAAAAAAAAAATCAATCAATCGAAGACAATATGAAAGAAGGTTTCACGTATCAAAAGGTCGGACAGTATGTGTCTTCAGAGGGAGGATCTGAATAGAAAAGGGAACTTACTATTAATATTGGTCATGATAGGGTTACTTTCAGGCCGAGGTTAGCTTGTGTACGGCCTTTGGAGAAAAGTTGTTAGAACTGTCTTGCATAATTGGTAAGATGTGATTCCTTGGGTCTACACAGTGAGCGAGTACTACCACTAAGTAGGAAATTCTCGGCTCGTTTTGAGTTTGAATGGGGATTGCGTTTGTAGCCCTGTTGGGTGTTACGTTCCAGGATATCACAGCGAATAATGAAGATCGAATTGCTGAAAAAAGGTCTAAAACTGCCGTCTCTTGATCGGGCATAAGCATCATATCGCATTCGTTAACTCCTTTCCAACCGATAATTGAGGAACGAATGTTTGAGTCCCATGTTCTGATTTTTGGAAGAAATAGATATGTTTTATCGCATATAGTATATCACAGATATCTCGTCTTATGTTCATTGAGAAAGAATATTGATGTATAGTGTAACAGAGCCAGCCTAAGGCGGAATATTGAGCACCTAGTATACCCGATGCCGAGAAAAGTCGTGTTCGATCCTGTACACGTGTCTATATATGTACAAGTGTGTGCAGATTTGAACTTAGTAGTTAGTACTAGTAATCAGTAAAAACAAGCCTCGGTTGTTCGGTACAACGATATTGGGGTTTAGTTTGTTTTTTGACGCGTATTTTTTTAGTTTTGCCATTATTGTATTTTTACCTATCCATGTTTATATTTTTGAGGACCATAGTTTATATTTTCATACTTACTTTCCATTCTCTCTCTTTCTCTCTCTCTCGCTCTCTCTCTCTCTCTCTCTCTCTCTCTCTCTCTCTCTCTTCTTTTCTCCTTCGTTTTCTGTTTTTCTATTCTAGCTAGTTAGCTTTCTATTTCTTTATTTCTGCAATTTATCTATCTATCTCTATCTCACTCAATCTCTATCTATCTCTATCCATCTCACTCTATCTCTATCGACGTCTATCTATCTATCTATTTATCTATCTATCTTTATCTCACCCACTCTCTAACTATCTCTATCTATCTATCTATTTATCTATCTATCTCTATCTCACTCAATCTCTATCTATCTCACACTATCTCTATCGACCACTATCTATCTATCTATTTATCTATCTATCTCTATCACACTCTATCTCTATCTATCTCACTCTATCTCTATCTACCAATATGTATCTATTTATCTATCTATCTCTATCTCACTCTATATATCTATCTATCTATCTTGGTATCTATTTATCTATCTATCTCTATCTCACTCTATCTTTATCTACCTCTATCTATCTATCTATTTATCTATTGGGTTGTCCGGAAAATAATGCAGGATTTTGGTATTAAACAAAAAAAAAGAAACTAGTTACTTTAAAGCAATGTTCTTTAATCAAANCTCTGCCTATTTATCTATTTAACTATCTATTTCACTCAATCTCTATCTATCTCACTCTGTCTCTATTTACCTCTGTCTATTTATCTATTTAACTATCTATTTCACTCAATCTCTATCTATCTCTATCCATCTCACTCTATCTCTATCGACCTCTATATCTATTTATCTATCTATCTCTATCTCACTCAATCTCTATCTATCTCACTCTGTCTCTATCTACCTCTGTCTATCTATCTATCGAACTATTTATCTATCTATCTCTTCTCACCCTATCTCTACCTACCTCTATCTATCTCTATATCGGATTAAAAATTTCTATAGATTTTCATCGGAGGGCCCTTTGTCTAGTATTTCAGTGCTAATACCCTGGATTGACCGGTTAAAATGACTACTTGTAGGAATTGCCACAACAATTGAACAACACAATCGGAAAATTTCGCCTTCATATGAACATACGTACTGTTTTTCTCGTACTTTTCACTCCTGTATATTAATAAACAAACATTTTGGGAAAGGTAAAATGAAACGTTTCGTTATGTTATGCAGGAATCATACATCAAGTTGATTAAAAAAATAACTCAATACCAGAACAGCCAACAAACTCCGGTTCTATTTTTTTAAAGGTTTTAATTTTTTAACAGTCAAAACTGTATTTCATTATATTTATGAAATTATAGAATTTTAATTACACTTCAATTTGTTTTGACACATCTATGAAATGAGTGGTGGTTAGTGACCGTTAATCGATAATTATTCAGAAATCGTGTGATGCGGTCTGATGTGATGTAGGTTTCAGAAAAATATTTTCTTTATCGTGCCAATGTTTCGATCTTTATTGAGATCATCTTCAGGGCTCAGGATCTGAAGATGATTTCAATAATGATCGAAACGTTGGCACGATAAAGAAAATGTTTTTCTGAAACCTACATCACACCAGGCCGCATCTCAAGATTTCTGAATAATCATTTATGGAATGTTTATAGATTTGTTTATTGGCACACATAAATATCATATGTATTTACACTATAAACTCTTAGAAAATTAAACTCAACACTGTTTTGTGAGACAAATTTATATAAAAATTAATACTTTTTTTAAAATCAATTTTGATATAAAAGCAACATTGGTGAGTAGACCTTGAGTTCAAATTTTTCATTCGCTTTGTATTTGTTTCTGTCAGAGTATCAAGATTATTTTCGACTTGAAAAGAGTCGTTGTTATGGTTTATGCCAGTGTTTCAGGTTCCGGCAATAAACCGTCGAGCAGGGTGATCGTAAAGTCAGGGTCTCCCTAATTTCTGAATGAAGGTCTGCGAGCCTTTATTTCCGGCCATCAAGTCATTTCTGAATTAAAGCTTCTTCCGGTTCTCCCCGGGAGAAACCTACCCCTTAAAACAATACCTGGATGTAACTTTGGTGAAAATTCAGTTAAGAAATGAGAGAACGTTCATAATTTGTAAACTTAAAACGATAAACAGTCGGCCCTAGTCCAGAGTTTTCCTGGTTTTGATATTGATGAATCCGGTCTGGAATATTGATACGACTTATATATAATACTGGCTCATTTCAATATCAAAACAATGTAAAGAACCTATTCATTAAAATCATTTAATAATAACTACAGAAGCACGGATTAAGAAATATGCAAAGTTGCTTTGAAACTAGTCATTTAATTTTTCCCTTAAAAAAAAGCACAGAAAGGTCATATTGTGATTATAAGATGATTATTTTTAAAATCGTCTTTGGAACATACTTCAAGGCGGCCAGAAATGAAATATCAGACAAATTGGTTTTTAAAAAGTCAAATTAGTAGCATTAATGAGAGGATGCATTATAAGAGGTTCAGTGAGACAAGATTTGGTAGGTTAATGCTTAAATACTTAACCAATCTTTATGTACATGGCTAGAAACAGAAATCAACCCCTCAAATGAACATTATTTAAGTTAACATTTTCCTTAGCCCTACAATACTTTACCTATGCGTACCAATCGGCACATAGCGGTAACGTAAAATCGATTACGCAAAAAAAAATATCATGCATTCTAGCATAAAAAATATCCGTGTTAACATATTTACGCGTTCGAAAGGAAAAGTTGTAACGTTTATTATTCAGAAATCGTGAGATGCGGTCTGGTGTGATGTAGGTTTCAGAAAAACATTTTCTTTATGGTGCCAACATTTCGATCTTTATTGAGCCCTGAAGATGATCTCAATAACGATCGAAACGTTGGCACGATAAGAAAATGTTTTTCTGAAACCTATATCACACCAGACCGCATCTCACGATTTCTGAATAATTATCCATTAACGGTCATACTGTATACAATACACAGTTATACTGTAATACTGTTATTAAAAACAAATTACCTTTATAGATGTTTTGGGTTTTTAAACAAATAAAAAAGCAGACAAAAATTCTGTTCAGACTCAAAGGGATTTCAATAAAATTAGTTGTGAAAAATTGTATTCTAGTCTGCAATGTGACACTGCGATATTGATCATCTTGTACTAATGCTCTGACGGTATTAGACATCTCTGACCACCTGCAAACATGCAGGGCTGTCCATTCTTCGTCTATCTGTCGTGTACAGTTTCTCCACACATTATGACATTGGCGTGTTTACAGGACACTGTCATGTAATTAAATATTTGCACCCAATAAGAAAACAACATGCCGTGCAAAAGAGTGAGCCATATCTTCAATTGAAAATGGCGGATAAACAAAAGAAAAATCTGATTACAAAGTGCCACCAAGATAAAGAACCCTAAACAATATCAGCTCAAAGAAAAAGCTAAGATTTCTTTAAATAATTAGTTAAATAAATACCTTGAACAATATTTGCTCCACACATGGCGAAGTAGAGGAAAGCAGCCAAAAATACTGTAGCCTGCATCATCTCTAGTGTATGGCCAATCTACATCTTTTCTGGTTGAACAATCTGAAAACGAGAAAAACCTGATTTTAATAAGTCGTAATGAAAAAAGGAAATTAGAAAAGTACGGTTGAAGTGGGTTTGAGCTTATGTGAATAAAAGGGCATTTTAGTCATGTGAAACGGGTGAAAATGACTTAAAATGTCACATATATTCCCTCCGGCAACCACAAAAGGGAGGCAAATGACGTTACTCCGCCCATACGAATCAATTTCAGTCGGTTTTACGTAGATATCCTATCGTTCAGTTCATATATAACCCCCAACCGACAACGACGGTAAGCTTTAATATGGTATCTGTTGTCTTGGCGACCCTTTTACCAATTCCATCTGTATATGTACAACAGAGGGTAAATTTTACAAATTTTAAAACAATGCTAAAATAAATTGTTTTATTTAGACAGACTTTACATATATTCAACTGTAAGCCAATTAACCACATTTTAAAAAAATATATAATGGGTGTGCTTTTTAGATGGCCCGGCTGAATTTCTCTTGAACCAATGACACTATAAAAAAAAATAAATACGTGTTTAATATTTTCTAGTCTAGTTTGAAATTTTTACATTTTTTTCGGAGAAAAATTATACAGGACATCTCAGGCCCAATTCAATTAAAAAATTTCAAATAAGACCTATACATCCTGATTTCATTTTCAAGGATTTTTTACGCTAAAAACAATGGTGAAGTCGGAGTATTCAAAATATCCAACGCTGAGTTTTATTTACCAGGACACTTGACTCGCAACTTTCAAGTAAAATTTTGATCGCTTCTCAAGGTAGACGGTTCATTCTATTCAAAATAGTGTTTAGAGTACGGACCTATGAAGTATCAAATTCCATTTTTTAGCATGACTAGAAATTCATAAAGCAATAAATAAATAACAAGTAACGAGAGCAATAAAGATTGATCGACACAATAAGTACTAAGAATAAAAAATTTCGGTGCGAAAACAACAACAGCAAAGGATAACAGCAACATGAATAAATAAAGGTGCAGACCTACCAAATAACAAATTACATTTTGACAAAACTAACAATTTGAAGACACAAACTAATAAATTAATAACAAGTAACAGATGCAATGATTAACTATCAACTAACTACAATAAATACTGCAGAATAAATACAGATCAAACGCTCGGGAAGCTAATAGCCGTCCTACGAGGAGGGGGTCTCTGCCGGCCGCAGAAAGCCATCCCCGGGGAGGCTCTCGTCCACGGTTTTACACAATTTAAAAGGCTATTGTTCGTCATAAAACGGGTGTTTCAGGAGGATGTGGATAAAAACCATTTACAAAATATGACGCATTGTCCTATGGAAAAGTCCACATCCCCCCCACATCCCGGGGACTAAATGCCCAGCGCGTATAGAGAGCCCGACCCGAAGACAGCCCCGCCTCCGGGCTGAAACCCAAGGGGATTGAACCGACCTCTACCTTAACGATTTCACGTTTACACGTTGATGCCACTATTTTGTAAGAAGGAATATATGACCTGGTATACGTCCACTCTGTTAAGAGCAAGTAGGCTCTCCCAGCTGACAGGTTTGTTGATTTCTTTTATGTTGTACAGATTTTCAAGGAAGTCTGTTCTGGTAGACTCGTATTCTGGACACTCTAAAATCAAATGCTTGATAGTTTCTGGTTGATCACAGGTGGGACAGTTTGGGGACGCTCTACGATTTATTTTGTGCAAATAAGCCCCGCAAATGTAGTGGTTGGTGCGTATCCGAGTCATTGAAGAATAAAATTTTTTGCATCCGAATTTGGATGTTGCAAACCATGGGATGGAGCGCAATTCTGGGTGTAGCGATTTGTAAAAGTTTCCCGCTGTTCCGCTGTTGTACCAGTTGCGCCACTCCACTAGCCAGTGTTTGTTTAAGGTACGTTTCGCATCTGTCTTTGGCAGTTTTATGTCCTGGTATTGTCCGGCTGTTGTCGCTCGTTTGGCTAACTGATCTACTATGTCATTACCCTTTATGCCACAGTGTCCGCGACACCAACAGAAAGCTGTTTGTATGTGGCGATGCCGTAAGGTACAAACGACCCTAACTTTTAGGGTTTAGTTTAATTTAGAAAATAAATATTTAAAAAAGAAAAAACAATTTTTCGATTGAAACGACAAAGATAATTCTGTCTCTCACTTTCACTCACACTCTTTCACTCTCTCTCTCCCTCACACTCACTTACTTTCTCTCTCTCTCTCCCTCACTCTCTCTCTCTCTCTCTCTCTCTCTCTCTCTCTCTCTCTTTCTCTCTCTTTCTCTCGCTAACTCTCTATCTTTCTCCAAAGAAACGTCTAGTAAAACACAGCTGTTAAAACAATGAGTATCAGAAATATCAATATATATCCAAACGACGATGATTGTCAATCCTGAATGATAGATAACAACCAAAGAGAGAAATATACAACCAGATATACTTGCATGTTGATCAGGAAAACAATGGGATATAGTAAAAAAATCTGCTCGCATGGAGCACTTCACAGTTTTGCAACAACCATCAGTCAAGATGGTTTAGCAAAATTGGTTTATGAATGATTAAGATGGAAAATAGATTAGCTGGAAAAAGCGATAATTATAATATTTTTTAAAAATGTAAAAATTTCATAAAGAAAGAAAAGAGATAGATGGGAAGAGATGGGGATGTCAAAAAAATGATATTCCGTATGAAAGAAGAGAGAGAGAGAGAGAGAGAAAGAGAGAGAGAGAGAGAGAGAAAGAGAGTTAATATTAGACCAGTATTTGGTTGTGTCAGGGTCTCAAATTATTAATGTAGCTCCCGTTTTTTGAAAAAAGTAGGGGGGCCCCTTTTAAACCACTATCTATAATATAATTCTTTAACTCCTAAAACCTTTCCAGAACCTCCAAATTAACTGATTCATCCTTCTAATATTACAATTATTACAATATTATAAATCAGTGTATTTGGAAAATAATATTTTTTATTTGATTTGTTGCGAAACCCACGTAACAAAACAGTCATTTTTAAAATTAAATGGCTACCGAATATATCACACCATCCATCGTAATAACAAACCTAACATAGCGCTATCATTATAAAGTACAACATACTACACTTCGAAGATCGTTCTCTTCAAACTGATGAGATCCAACTCACCGTGGTCGTACTTAACTCTGTCAAACAGAAAATAGCTATTGGCGAGGTATAATGCCCGCCAAAGCACAACTTAAAGTGTTCAGGTTACTCGAGACTCCTAGAGTACCTAGGCGAAAGGTTCATAGTAGGCGGTGATTTCAACGCTAAACATGTCGACTGGGGACTGACTAACACCAAAGGCCACGAACTAAGGAAAGCTACGCGAGAGTGCGTCTATCATTTTTCAGGGAAACCAACCTACTGGCCAACATACTGCAACAAAATACCCGATCTCTTAGACTTTTTTATTACCAAAAAAGTTTCTCCTAACTTCATTAAAGTAACAGAAAACTTTGATCTAAATTCTGATCACTCAGCAGTTATACTGACACTAAGTGAAAGGATAATAAAAAAACAATGCAAGCCAACATTAGTTAATTTACTGGAGTAGTTTTGCCTTAGACGTGGATGCAAAAACAGTCCTTAATGTTCCTCTAAAACGGAGGACCAATTAGATAATGAAGCAGAGGTGTTCACCTCAATCATTCAGACTTCAGCATGGTGTAATACTAGACAGACTATCCATAAAACAATTGGCTTCAACTACCCCAAGGAAATTAAAGAACTAATAAATCAGAAAAGAAAGGCTAGAAGAAGATGGCAACAATCAAGAGACACTGTAGACAAAACATTCATAACAATATGGCTCAAAAACTTAAACGAAAGCTAAAAAAACTGCATGACGACTCAATCACAAATTATCTAGAAGACCTACTCCAGGCGAAGCCACTGACTACTCGATGTGGAAGGCCATAAAAAAATTAAAAGACCAATCGTCCAAATTCCCCCATTAAAAAAAGAGGATGGTACTTGGGCGAGAGATAGCAGAGAAAAAGCCGAATTGTTTGCTAGTTATCTTGCTGAAATCTTCAAACCAAATAAAATCATCAATAGCAGCTTACTTGAAGTAACATATGAACTTGTGTAATTAAAAGTGAATAGTGAATAATGAAATGTAAATCTTATTGTACCAATGGGTTTATAAGAATGTAAACATTTATTTATTATGTAATATTATTGTAAAATTAATGGGTGGTCTAATAAGACCAGTTTTAATAAATAAATTTAATTTAAAAAAATTGATTTGTTGAACATCGAATTGACCGTAATCAAACATGAACAAATTTTTAAAAGTAGATATAATGAAATTGTTAGAAAAAATTGTATCAAGATTTGTTTGTAGTCTAGGAAAAGAAGTGCTTTGAGAATTTCGACCAGTTGTTCTTTTCACAGCAGAGGTCATATCAACCCTCACATATATTTTTGAAAATACAGCCTATTTGTAAATATGTCGGGTTCGACTGCAGGGCCGATGGATTCGAACCCGGGTTCTTTACCATACGTCGTCATATCAACGCCTAAACCGTCGCCTACGCCTACGGTCGCCGACATCCCTCCTTCAGCAGTAACAATTCGGCCAGTTGAAAAAGTTAGAAATACTGACAGATTCAAAAGAGGAGAGACTAGAAACCCACTTGTTTCAAACTTTCCAGCTTATTTAGAGTAGAGACCGAGCTTGGGGATCGCTACGTCACCAACGTCCATTAATTTTGTTGATCCAAGTTATTATGTTTTAGGACAGTTTATGTAACACTCATATTTAACAAAAAAGAGAGATTTCCTCTACATTTCATAATAGTTAAAATATATGCTTAAAAGAGAAATGACTCTTGGAAACACATAAAATTATATTATAAAAGATATGATCAGTGTTGCAATTAATCGTACTGATGAAATTGTTTTTATGAGACACTGTGTACGAAAATGTAGTTTTTTTTTGTTTTTTTTAGTCTAGTAGATTTTTGTTTTAATTGTACAGTATTTATAATTAAAAGCAGTTATAATAAAA